GAAACGTCAGGCAATAAAGATTCCACCTAAAACCGGGTTTCGGCAAAATACTTGTAAACAGCTATTCTTATACTTATATAAATGGCAGCAATGGTTGGCGCAAACGCTGCATTACGTATTTTCTACCACCCTCAGCTGATCGCGGAAAGCCGATGATGACTATCTTGGCATAGCGAGAAAGTAAGATATTTATGGATGAAGAACAAAAACTGCTTACCCAGATCAGCATGGGAAAATGCATCATCTGAGAAGTCTATCGCTGTTGGAAAACGAATGATCCCATTTTCGTTGTGCGCATATTTTTCTCAAATATAAATACTTCATAATAGTAAACAGCAAATTCAGACCTATATACCTGGATATATCTTCTGTAAATTTGGTAAGATAGGCGGGTCAACTCCACACTGTAGGAAGTGGACAACCAGCAAAACCATTGCATAACTAAAATCATTTGCTTATTATACACGATTACCTTGACCTATGATAAATAGCATTAACCTGTTAAAACCTCCAACCTTTGGATTCTTTACATCATTTCGACCTGCCCAGTCTTTCACTAACATACATAAAGGAGCAAAACGCTCATCCCATCTGGAAACAAATCAGAGCTTTCATGGGAGTATTATAATCCTTTATAGTATTCGTTGAGATGAAAAAGCTTTCACAAGCATATAGTATGCTAGAATGCCACGCATCATCTTGAGAAGTTTCATCCCAATAATTCCTAGATGGAGCCAATTCTCCCTTCAATTTAATGATGAAAAGACTTCCAGAATTTCCGAATAATCAGTTGACAGTGCTGTATGTGAAGACAAAATATATTCTTAGTCCGAAAATCACTTCAAAGATTCAGAAATTCTAGCTCAAACAACTCTTACCTCCTTTAAAACGAATAACTTTGAAAAAAAACTTACGAAGCATATCCTCGGATAAGGTAGCTGTTTTGGATTCCTGAAACGAATGGTTCGGTACACGAGCTGAGATCAACTTCCAAACCCTTTTTAGTTTTGATTCGAAGCACCGGCACCTAGAAAAAATTTTAATGAACTGTATAGATTACGAATGAACTACTGATTGAACCTTAGCGTCGACATATTCTACATATTCAATCTGATTCCTGGTTTCCAGATCGGTGAGTAAAAAATGTCGAACCCAGCGAAGAATGTGGAAAGCAGCGCTAAGTATGATTTGATAACAGCTCCATCAAGATTCGAAAAGCTAACACTCACTCGGATTCGCTGGGAAAAAATGTTCTAGCATCGGGGCACCAAAAAGTTACGTCAAAGTCGCTCCCTTTGGCCGCCAGCCGGGTCATAGTGGAACCAGACGGGAACAGTTTAAAACGCCATTTCTTCAAAACATTATTGCTTATCAAACATTTTCATGTTTCAATCGAAAGCCATGTATTACAGC